ATACAAATACAATTTGATACGTATTTAAAAGGTATGTGAAACAGGTAATAAATGTTTAACAGAAATTATTTTTATTGAAAACATATAAATAAAAGTAAAAAATATGTGTTTTAAAATCAAATATTAAAAATTAAACACATTTATTTCACTTCTCTTGAAAATCCCTTGGATTTGGTGAATAATTGGTGTCAGCACTTCTCAGTAATTCTTGAGATGCTGGTGAGTTAATAATAATAATAATAATCATAAATGTCTTTATTACTACAACCACACAAAAAAAAATATTAAGTTCTAACTACATATATAAAGTTATAGTAAAAGGTGAAGTTCAATTTTCGCAGCTATGCAAATAACTGCTAAATTGTTCTTTCACTTAACCTGAAAAAATCTCTGGGTATTGAAGAAGCATATCATTAACATAAGTATATGAATACATGAATAAGGATCAGTGACTGGCGATGATACAAAACTAGGCAAACTTTTATTGGTCAGGAATCACTCAAAGAGGAAAAAAATAGAAGAAGATAGAAAAGCGGAATGGTGAAACATTCATCACGTTATAGATTTTGTAAAAGACATAATTTCAATTTGATTTTGAACTGAGAGGGTGGCAGTTTTTTTAAAAGTTCAGGAATAGCATTGAATACTTTGATACTGATCGGTGTTTGGATTTCAAGAGTTTTAAAGTGGAATAAAATGATTCACATAAGTACGTTGTTCTCAATATTGAAAAAAATATTCGACAAGCACTCTTTATGAATTCAGGATACTTCGATTCTTGTACAAATTTCCATAATTCAGTAATCGATAACGATATTTGAATTGTATTGCTCATCAAAAAGCCGCATGTGGCTCGCTAGCCGCAGGTTGTCCCCCTGCTATATACGTTACTAAAGGATATATAATTGTGTGCCTTCAACCAGTAACTAATAACTAAGTTACTTTTTGTCAGTACCTTCAGTGGTAGTCATATGTTCCAGCCACATATTGAAAAATTTTACCGCTGATATGGGGGTGTACGCCAAGCCGGGATTGGTCGTTGAAACATAAATGAATTCAAGGCTAGCCACGAAAATGGGTCTTATAACTGAAATATTATTTCGATTTGAACAATTATGAGTGATTAAAATATCACCGTAGATATTTTCATATAAAACCATAATATTCAGCAAGTTCTACAACACCTATATGGTCCTCGATTTTGTCATGAAAAATTCCACCTTCTACATTTCTTTCAATCATTTCATTTGAAAAATGGATATTTCTACGAAAAACAAAAGTTTTATGTAAAAACAATAACACGTGGCAGAACAATCATTATAATTAAAGTGCTCAAAAATGTACCAAAAAGTAAAACAAGAATTTTATGAGAATCAGTTCGTTATTTTATCTACACTAAAATTCAGTATTGCATGGTACCGAAAACTATGAATATAAAGGAAGACATAAAAAATCAAAACCAAAGATTGAAAATTAAAGAACCCAAAAACACCTCAAACAATTCAACAAGCATTTTATAAAAAGGAATCGATTCAAAATTATCATCAAAAATTTCAGTCAATACAAATATTGTCAATGATTCATCAAACGTTTCGCCTGTTCCTGAAACTAGCAAATATTCTGAAGCAAATTATGGCTCTTTCGATATAATCAGACATTATTGAAAAAATTATCAGTGTCAGACTTTTAATCTGTATAGGAAATAACAATAATTTATTATAATACTAGATACATACGAATGATGTAAGTTACATTCAAAGTGAAATTGATATCATAAAAAATATACCCCTCTGTCTATGGATCTATGCCAAGTTTTTGATACTGTTGTCCATATAATTTTGCTGCAGAAATTACATAGTTTTGGTGTGAGGGTGAACATTTATGATTGGTTTCAGAATTACATCTATGATAGAAAACATTTTGTATGTAAAGAAAATCAACAAAGAAGTATTGAAAGACTTTCATGTGGAATTCTTCAAGTATCTATTCGTGGTCCTGTTTCTTATCTACACTAATTCGAATGCACCCTTATTTGCAAACGACACAAACGTTATATGTTTTTGTAACTATGTCACAAACATTCGAAATTCATGAATAGAGTTGAAAAAAAAAACAAGTTGGTTAAACCAACATAAATAACCTTTGAATCATGTGAATACTCAAATTTGAATTTTGTCGTGGTGAATGATGCTCATGAACATATAACTCGTCAGAACACTTCCTTGAGTCATCGGAAGTAATAAAGAGTTTTTTCTCGACAATGTTTATTTTTGATATAACTATTTACTGATAAATTCAAGAAAATATATGTTTTTTTTTCCTTATTCAGTTTGAGTTATTTATTATATAGTTTCTAGAGAAAATGGAAATTATTAATTTATTTTAATAAACAATTCATGTCTGTCATAAGAAATAAAAACAACCTGATAGAGGCAGTCAATAACATTTACCTATTGGTCGCTGTTATACGTCTCATGGCCTTCATCACAATAAATCTTTAAACTGCATACTCCCTCCCGTTTGTATCTATTATTTGGGGGGAGGGGAGGCATTGGGCCTCAATCTGTACACTTCCCTTGATGTTATCGAAGCAGCATTTGTTGTTATTTACTTCAGCTCATTGTGTTTTTTAAAATTTTACTTACTTTCATTTTAAATCCCTCCATTCTTGAATCGATTCCACATAGAGGAGGTTGGAATCTCAATATTTATTTATTTGTACACATTGAGTCCTGCAATCTGTTCAAATTTCATAATAGTAAATATTATTGCATAGTTAGATTATAAACCAGCTGCAGAAAACAATCAAATAATAACAGAAAAATACAAATGAAAATATATTTATTTTATTCATTTTCTTAACCTATAATCTGTCTTCTTACTCAATAATTATTCAAATGAAAAAGAAGAACTAAGTTAACGAACTACAGTATATATTAATGATCTGTACATTCAATATACATATAACAATAATGAAATTGTCTCAAAGCTCCATAAATTTTAGTAAGGTGTTGTACATCTGGTGTCAAAATAAAATGAATCACGCTGTAATCGATTTTTGATACATGAACACTCCGACAGCAACAACTCTTTAAATGCGATCAACACACGTGGCAGGAGACTATGAAAGCGTAACGCTGGAAAATGTCTTCATGTGTACTTTCAGTTCGAATAACAGTAGCACTGGCATGAATGATTTAACATGATTTTTCAAAAAGGCGTCCAATTTAAGGTAGGGTTGAACGGAATTTTTTGAAAATTACAAGATAATTGTTACGATACACTGACGCATATATTGCGTTTCGAAAAGTCTTATATTTAGGATAGGAAGGTATTCCAAAACTTCGAGCAGATCGACAATTAGAATTAGTCTTGCTATCCCAATAGTGCGATCGGCTTCGATATTTTGGGATGGAACCTCTGTTATTGGGCAGGCCTTTTCCCGAGAGTAGGGTTATTACTTGGTGTTCCTTGTTTTCGATTCAGCTACCAGGGGCTGAAGTTAACTTATCTGAAGTTTGTGTCAGGGTATTTTCGATTAACTTCTTATGCGTTCCCACCAATTCTGGGAGATCGTAGGCAATAGCAACGTCCAGCCTGTTGATAGGACACCCTCGAAAATAAGTACATGTGGCTGACAATGGCTGGAATTCGTACAGTGGGTTGAGCTTGAAGAAGTCACGGTAGACATCTGGGTCCGGTAAGTCATACCGGGATATGTTCGTGAGGGTAGAGAGACCTTCGTAGATGTGGTAATCTTGTGGACGTTCGATGATTTCGTCTGCAACTTGCTTGCGATTTCCGAACACGGACTTGTGATTGTAGTATGTCGTGAGGTAGCAATCCACCATCTTTGCGTGATTTCGTACACGCACCTGTAAAAGTTCACTTCGTACATTGTCAATCTCTATTGTTACTTAAGAGGGAAATCTAGAGAAACATCTATAGATTTACCCTCTAACAAAAAAAAAATGTATTGAATAAATAGAATTGAGAAATGGAAAATTTAAATGTTGATTTAACACAAATAATAATCTCTACTGCCCACATCGGTATCCCTTGATATGCTTTGATTAATAATAATAATAATGCTTCATTGTCACAAGCATATAGTTGATATGTTCTGGAAAGTTGATATTATCCGAAGAAACAAAACAAAACGAGTTTATCAACAAGTATAAATTTCTTTAGTTCGAAATTCCAATGTCTGATATGTAATAAAATGATTTGAAATCCCTTGAAGAATCAATGATATTAAAAAGATTAGCTAAAAAAATAACGAAAAATCACGAGAACTTTCCAAGGGACGCTCCTCCAATCATTAACGATTAGGAGATATGAGCATGCTGTTTCATATATTTATTTTCACGAATATTTTGATGTAAATAATAACACGTGTTTCTTAAAATATTTAGAATCATTGACTGCCTGAAACACAATACATGCCATAAAATTCAAATGATTGAGTGCTGAATGCTATATACCATAGGGTTTGCCAACTTATAAACTCTTGATTTCCTTTCTAAATTGAAAAAATATTCATGAATTAAATCAAACTCAACATGTTATTGAAAATACATATATTGAAATATTTGCGAAAATTCTTCGAAATCGAAGCATTCGTAACTTTTACCTCTTAGCAAATAAAAATTTTCTCGGAAAGCTTCAATTGTTATTCCCCTATTCAAAGAGGGTTTGAATAGTGCCTGCAATTATATGATTCCAGCCATTGAAAAATCAGTCGAAAAATGAAAGAAAAAATTCTTGAACTTGCATGGTATTAGAAGTAATGATTAAATCAAAAGGTAACATCTGTGCAATTTTATTTCTCTTTATGAAATTCATGTCGTAGTTCATGTCGGAATCGTAGTTGCTTTCTAAAAACTGGCAAGCAAAGGTGGAATTGGTCCTCTTCAGTTTAGAACTTTTGGACATGTTCCATATGTTAGCTTGTAGACACCTGATTTATTGTCCTTGTCAATGTTAAACTTGTTAATAGATAGAATAGAATAGGATAGGATAGGATAGGATAGGATAGGGTAGGGTAGGGTAGGATAGGATAGGATAAGATGGGATAGGATAGGATAGGATAGGATAGGATAGGATAGGATAGGATAGGATAGGATAGGATAGGATAGGATTGTCTAATTTTGTTACTCAATTCTTCTCATTCTGTTCAGTTCATTAGGTGCCTCAGTATCACAAAGTTTATTTTTCGACATATTGTTGCAATCTAACTTCTCAATACATAACTCTTTCAAATACTTTATTCGACATAGGGCCACGTATGCTTGTCCTTCTTCAAAAAATTTCGAGCCTAAATACACATCTGCGTGGTCTAAGTGCTGCCTAACATTTTGTGAACAGTGGAAGCCTATGACAAAATTAAGGTTAACATCATTCTTTCAGTCGTCTCATAATTGAATTTTGCTGGAAACTGCATGGCCTAAGAGTGGATAAGCTGTACCCCGTTGCTTCCAAAGTTGATCTGAACTGACGGTACCTACATCTGTTTCGTACATTTGAGTTCGACGAAACTGATGTCAATTAATGTCTTCAATGTAGCCGTTAGCGCCAATCTTTTCGTTACGTCAATATTGGATTGCAACATACCGAGGTAGGTATGAAATAATATGTAATCCGCCATTTTGTAGCTGCACCCATCTTGAATTTACATCTTTTTCAAAGTGTACTACTATTCTATTAGTCAATCCCTGTCATTTGACACCCATATTGAGGTGGAAAAATATGTAATCCGTCATTTTGTAGCTGCGGCCAATGATACAGAATTTATTAAATCGGATTGTCATCAAAACTAAATGTGTGTACTAAATATCAGATCAACATGTCAACAGGAAGTAGGTCAAACTTCAATTACTAAATTTGACCCAAACAAACAGGGCAAGCTAAATAAAACCATTTAAAAACATAAAATAATATGATGCCAAGGATGGGGGAGCGAATAAAAAAACAATGTTACATTATAGTAAGAACAATTGAATCAAAGAACATTTACGTTAGTGGTTCTGATTTTCATCCACAGAGTAGAAACAATGCTCGGAAATTTTTTTTTAGTTATTTTGAACATGGACAAAGGTTTTTATATTCCGTGGATAGGATATTGGAAACGTATGATCTAGACTATTGATTTGAGATTTACATAATCCGTTCGAATTTTGTCGGCATTCCTGGTATCATGTGTGAATATCCGATGGTTTCGAAAGGGAGTTCAATTAGCAGATTGAACAAATAGATGGTTGGGTTTGCAGTGTTCTCTGAAACCAGCATCGGCAATGATACTGATTGCTTTTTTCTGTAGTTTGTATATTTTTTTCCAGCGCGAGTAGGCTTGCGCCAAAAAAAGACACCATAGATTGCATTTCATCATTTCGGACTTCCATTGTCTAATATTGATTATATTATGCAAAAAAAACTAAAATTACAATGAAATAAAATACAAGCAACCAAAAAATATAAAACTGAACTATCAACACGAGATGAAAATTTAAAAAATTATCAACAAGAAATGAAAAATGAAAATTTAAAGGTTCCCAAACAAGTTACTTCACGACGTTTCGATTATTAGTATCCACAATCGTCTTCGGGTTATAACTGGACTCCAAGATCTGACTATTTATAGGTCATTTGAGTGCTTTCACCTATCCCCTCTTCCCTCTCTCAGCTTCATCGGTTTTTAGCGGAAACTGACCGTTTGGAGGAAGTTGGTCGTTGATTAGAGGTTTCCATATGTTGGTATCTCTACGCTAGCTTGGCTGAATGCGTTATTGGACAGTATATATGCTGCTTCTTTGAATTTTCTCCTAAGGCAGTGTTCCTCCTTGTGGATGATTTCAACTTGAGCCCACTTGATGTTATGCTGATGAGTTGAAACATGCTCTGCTATTCCGGATTTGCTGGTTTTTCCTCGCTGTGTATGTTTCTTGTGATTAGCAATGCAAACATTCAATGTCCTCTTATTTTCACCGATGTATGATTCTCCGTACTCGCAAGGTATCCGGTAAATGCAATTCTTGGAATCGCAGTTCGCGTTTGGTGGCCTGGTTTTCGTGAGGCTGCAGCGAATCGTGTTCCCAGATCTGAAACAGGTTCTGATGTTATACTTGGACCCAATTCTTCTTATCCTTTCCGACAATCCTCTGAAGTACAAGTACTGGTTGTGGTGGCTTCTCTTCCTTGTGAGGGTCTTGCTGTCTCCTAGCTAAAGTCTGTTCCACCATCACTTTGGAGTAACCATTCCGTTGAAGGTCATTTTTGATGATGCCTAGTTACTTTTCGAGACCTTCCTTTGTATTACAGTGCCCGAAAGCTATCCGAAGATACGGACCTAAAAGATAGAACAAACTTACCGATACAAGTAATCATGGAATTACTAGGATGCTGTGTACGAAACTGCTACTTCCAACTGAGAGACGAATTATTTACGCAAGATGAGGGATCACCACTTTCACCGGTTAAAGCCAACATATATAGGGCTATTCAAATTCGTTTCTGTACATGGGGATCTCGTAAAAGATAAGAGATAGAGTGTCGGTTAAATTGTGGCAAAGTTGCGTATTTCAGAGACCTATTCAATGATGTAAAAAAATTGAATATAGCCCTTTTGGTTCTGGAGATATACAGTGAAAACCAAAAAACACCAAAATAGTTTTTTGCCTATATCTTCTTCATTCGCAGACATATTGAAAATCTGTACATATTTTACTGTTGGCACTTGATGTGGTCTTTTATTGGCGCAATGAATGTTCGACTTGGAGTTCATCCATTTCGAGACATTTTTGAACTCGGTTTATCATATTATTTATTGCCCTCAATACACTTATTTGCTGCATGAAATCATTCAAAATCCTCAATCTCGAGTCTTCCACATTTTCTATCTCTCTGCCAGCGTAAATCTTATTTTTCAATGTCACCCATAGAAAATAGTCCAAAATAGTAAGGTCTGGTTATCTCGCAGGCCATTCTATTGGCCCTTTATTTGTCTCGAAATGGAAGGACTCCAATTCGAACATTTATTGGGCCATTAATTTTTTTGTGTATATAAATTATTTCATTTCAATTTTTATTACAATTATAGTGTTCGTTTCGTATGTTATTATTGCTGTCATTTCACATTCACACATCAAAACACATATAATCATAAATGATCATAGATAATCATAAAAGGTTTTCTTATTCGAAGTTGTTTATGAAAAAATATAAATAGGTACCTAAAAATAAAAAAAACTCTCTAAAAACTCTACGATACATAGGGAGACCTGAAAGTTGCTATTGTGTTTTTATTTAACTCCGTCAACCAATTTCCAGTTCCCATTTAAATGGGAATAATTCACCCAATTATAATCAAATATTACCGAAACATCCCGAAATATAAAATAAAATTCAATTTCTCAGGATGAAGTGAACGTCTACGATCCAAAAACTACAACAAAAAGATACAGGTCCGTATTTAAAAATTCAAAGATGGGGGTGGCCCAAGTCAGATGACACCCTATATGAAAGATTCATGGACATATTCTAATAGCCCACATGAAGTGCCAATAGCAAAATGTTGACAGATTTTCAATATATCTGCGAATAAAGAATATATAGGCAAAAAAATTATTTGGGATTTTTTTTTCCTGTATATCTCCATAACCACAAGAGCTTTATTCGATTTTATCACATAATTGAATAGGCCTCTGAAATACGCAACTTTGCCACAATTCAACCGATACTCAATCTCTTATCGTTTACGAGATCCCCATGTACAGAAACGAATTTGAATAGGCCTGTATATGGAGTGGTTTGAAACTCTGGCCATTGAAGAAGCCCACAAGAATCCCTGAGTCTGGTTGAGATACGTGGATGACACCTTTATAATATGGAACCATGCGAATGCAGAAAAGGACCGACACTAAATGGGAAACATCTCTATACTGAAAACTCACTCACACGGGACAGTATCTGAACCAAGAATCCAACCACTATCACTCGATTGAGGGAGGAATAATCAAGACTTTAATAGACCATGCTTTCGGGCTCTGTAATACAAAAGAAGGTTTCGAAAAGGAACTAGGTATCATCAAAAATGACCTTCAACAGAATGGTTATTCCAAAGTGATGATGAAACACACTTTGGCTAGAAGACAGTAAGAGCCTCAAAAGGAAGAGAAGCCGCCACAACCAGTACTTGTACTTCCCTACATCAGAGGATTGTCGAAAAGGATAAGAAAAATTGAGTCCAAGTATAACATCAGAACCTGTTTCAGATCTGGGAACACTATCCGCAGCAACCTCACGAAAACCAGGCCACCAAACGCGGACTGCGATTTCAAGAATTGCATTGCAAGTGGGCTCGAGCTGAAATCCTCCATAAGAAGGAACACTAGTTAAGAAAGAAATTCAAAGAAGCAGCATATATCTTTTCCAATAACGCATTTAGCCAAGCTAGCGGAACATGATCAACTCCCGCCAAACGGTCAGTTTCCGCTGAAACCGATGAAGCGGAGAGAGGGAAGAGGACATAGGTGAAGGCACTCGAGTGACCTATAAATAGTCAGATCTCTGGGGAATCATTCCAGTTATTACCCGAAGATGATTGTAGATACTAACAATCAAAACGTTGCGTCGTAAAGTAACTTGGTTTGGAATCTATTAATTTTTATTTTTCAATTCTTAATAATTTTTTTTTATTTTCATCTCATATTCAGTTTTTTGATTTCTTGGTTATTGTCTGTATTTCATTTCATTGTGATTTCAGTTTTTTGGGCTTGATACAATTGTGTTTTTTCATCTATTCTTTTTAACTTTTCACAAATTCTTTCAGGGATTTCAAATCAATTTATATCATATTAGACAATGGAAGTCCGAACTAATGAAATGCACCACGAAACATTGTCAACCACCTTCAAACAAACACCGTAGCTTATAAGGAAATGAAATAAAGAAGAATATGTTGTTTTCAGCATGTTGGAGCTAACAAAATTATTTCATTCAACGAAGAATAAAAAGGGTAGTACACAATGTACTGATAAGGTAAGAGTTACTGTTTGAAAAGTGGAGGCTGCGCGACTTTTCACTATTTAGAGTTTTGATAGTTTTTTATCTGAATATATAAATGTGGTATCGTCGGCAAATAGTATGATGCTAAATGGTTGCATGAATTTACTGATGTCATTAAATTAGATTATAAGAGGTCGCAATACTGACCCCTGCGTAACATCATATGTTCAAATTTTTTAACTCCGTTGTTCACACTAATTTGATTTGACAGGTATGATATCATAATGGAAAGTGCAACTCCCCTCACTCCATATTAGTGTAATTTTTCTGATAGTATGTCGCGTGAGATGTAGTCAAAGGTGTCTGTTCTTTATATGTCCACCTGATGTGTTACCAATCTTATATGCTCTGTTAATTTTTGGTTCAGTTAGTAGTTTAATGTACCAGTTCGACTGAAGAAGCTACTGTGTACTGAAATGCGTTTACAGTAAAATTATCACTGTGAAAATTATTTCATTAAAAAAGGAGGGCAATTGGAACTGATGTGCCACAGGGTTCAGTGTTAGACCTTATTTTATTTTATGTTGAAAATTAACGATTTATGATTGATATATCGAAAAATATTTATACTACAATTTATAGGAATACCAAATACTCAGTGAAGCTAAATAAATGTCATCAAATTGATGTAACGCTAATTTATTATCATTGGTTGTTTCAGAAACAAACATTTTTTTCAAATGTTCTTTCTTTTTTTAAGGACAAAACACAGGCACTACAGAAAAATCCTTAAGGCACTCTCAGAGCGGTGCCTGTGCGGAAGTAGCGATTCACATTGGATTTGAATCGCTGGAGAATAAATCCATTTGGAAAAAAGTTCTCAGTTTATTCCACATAAACGCAGTTATTCAAATGGGAGAGTTCTCAAACAGTGAAGTTCGAGGTGTACTGAGTTGAACCTCAAAACGATGAGCAGCCATAGTCCGTTGCGTATTTCTGATATGTACCGCTCTTGGTGAAATTGAATGTGCCAAGTCACTTGAACACTTTCCGTGAAAGTATCTGTAGAAGAGAGACAAATATCCAACCTTTCTTTGATGTTCCAGGCTATCAAGGTTGCACGTGATGTTTGCGTCTCCAATCAGGCGGATGACTCTTTTTTGGATTGAATCCAGCAACTTCAGTATATTTTTGGGGGCAGAGCTCCATACCTGAGAACAACACTCCAAAGAAGGTCTGATATGAGCTTTGTAAAGCAACAAAAGTTGCTGATGTGTGTACAGTGTTCACATTCGAAACAGTGTTCTAAGCTTTTGAGCAGCAGCCTATGCAATTCCAGCGATATAATTGTGTCAAGACATATTGGTGTCCATTATATCTTCCAACAAACTTATCGAAGCAGAAAGCGGAATTGTCTGACCTGACATTATTGTATCCGGTTCGGAGACATTTATCTTCTTGGAGAAAACCATTGCCTGGGTTTTTGTGACATCGAATTGAACCTGGTTACTTTCACACCAATTCGAAATCACTTCTAGAACTTTATTAATATATGCAACCTTCTGCTGCCGGTGAAGATGTGTCTACTGTCGTCAGCAAAGCAATATATTGGATTATTTGGTCGTTGATATACAATAAAAAGAGAGTTGGATATAATATGGGTCCCTGGGGAACACAAGTGTTGATGAAGTATTCAAGAAATATCCATCAACGGCCACTTGCAGGAAACGTTTTTTCAGGAAGCTGAAGAGCCATACACAAAAGTGTTCCGACAAGTCATAACATCGAAGTTTGGCCAGCAAACCCTCATGCCACACACGGTCAAAGGCCTTAGAAATATCAAGCGCAAAAGCTCTTGATTCTCCGTGTTTCTCGATTGCGTTATTCCAAATATGGGTGATATACGATAGAAGGTCGCCTGTTATCCTTGTTTCCGAATGCCATATTGATGATCGCTCAAGATGTTAAAGCCTTCTAAATATTTGAGGGTATGATTTTTGATATCATTGATAGCAAAGCGACTGGTCTATAGTTATTTGGAAGATTTTTCTTGCCTTTTTGAGGATAGGCTGAGCACGAGCAATCTTCCAGCAATAAGGAAAAACCCATTTCTTATAAGGCAGGTTGAAAAGTCAGCAAAATACTGCTGCGCAGTTTTTTGCGCTTAATATAGTTGTGTTTTTTCGGGCACTTCATCAAGACCAGCCACCTTGTTGATATTGAGCTGTTTCAAAATTTGCCTGACTGGACGTTGTCGGAAAGTAATTTCCGGCATTGTGGATTCTAGTGTGGGAATAGGGGGCGGTGCCTTTCCCACGCAAATTGTTCAGCTAGTAGATTTGCTCTTTCTATGGCTGTTGTTGCCATTGAACCATCCGCTTGTATTAGTGATGGAATTGTGGATTTTGTAAAGTTCTGATTAACAGCTTCAGCTACCGACCAGAAGGATCTAGATGATTCGATGGACTTTCCATGAATAATGGTGTTCACAAAATGTATTGAACACAAAATTTTCAGTTGTATTCAATGATAATAAGTTGAAATTTGATGAAAATTTCGAGAAACTTCAGAGTGAGATCTCCTGGTGATACGTAGTATCACGTAGTAGGATTGGTATCTCAAGAGATGGGCATCAACAGTACAAACATTTGTTGCTATGCACTGAATCGATATCCAATTTCGTTATGGTATACCATTTTAGGAGGATGTAGCACAACCATTCTTTCTTTTGTGTTAGTATTGCAATGGATGCTTTTAAAATATCTGTGCAATGCCAGTCCCAGAGATTATGGCATGTATTCTGTTCTAACGCTATTTTAGAAGTTTGAAAGTAGTCAACTATTTAGTGAGCAGTTTCAGGTGTAGATTCGTTCAGTGTTTTGTTTTGTGAGATATACTTTGTTTTGTCAATAAGTGTATATTGACAAATTAAACATCAGATTTTTGTACTTACCGCAAACCTTCGTGCACTGGCTATTTTATTATCGATTCTTTTGTCTATAGCTCCTCTCAAATCTCGCAAGAAAGCCCTTTCTTGAGCTTGTAGCAGTCTTGCTGGGGCCCAGGGCTCGTAAGGTTTAGACCATAGTGACACAGTGTACATTACAGGAGGTTGTGGGGAAGACATCAGGGGTGAAATGTTCCATATCAGAGCTCCTTGTACCCTCATGAGTTCTTCGGGTTTCACTTGGTCGGCCTTGTTTAAAATAATGCGTGTCTGAAATATAGTTTAAATATAATTCCTGAGAAAAAAAAGTAGTAAGGAGTCAAGAAGTGGTTGAGATGACTTTACGAAAACGCCATCTATAGAGGAATATCAAATTAGTTTCAGTCTGTTATATATCTCATCAAAGGTATCCATCTATTGGATGCACAATATAATACTTGTCCAGTATTGCTTTCAGGCTTTGTTGTTATCAAGTTACTTGTGTCATTTGGCGGTCGTTAGTAAAGTTTGGCTCATTATTGATATTAGTTGTTTAGATTTCGTAGATTTCGATTACGACCTAAGCTTAGACATTTCAGATATTTATTTCAGAGACAAATGTTTTCAATTATCATGTCATATTCTCATCGTTGAATGTGACATTCACATGGAGTTTTTCTTTTTCAATTATTAATACCCTACTCATCTATAGTAGGCCAGCGGTACTAATATTTTCGATATTTTGTTTCTGTTGGAGTTTGGATGTCAATAATTGTGAAATTTGCTGTCAATTTATCATATTCGTGGTTTTGGTGAATGATTATCGATTTTGAAGACTGCTTGAACAACATTTTTTGTATCAAGAAGAAAATGAAATCACGATAATTACTATTTTTCTTATAAGTGGCTCTTTTTCAGATTTCGTATTGCCTTATCATTAGAAAAAAAATCACTTAATGAACATTATCATGGCTTGGCTATACAAGAACAAATCATTTCACCTCCCCACCATGGTTTCGTCTGTTATATATGATCCAAATCACCGTATCAAAATTTTCCGAAGCAAAAGGGTGACAGCTCATCAGTTGAGAACATTGTTCTCGTTGACACGGAGCTTTCTGTATAAACTCATCATTCTGATCAGGCTACATGATGCTCTTTCGATTGACATGTTTTGAGTTAACCCAAGTTGAGTTATAGATAATAATTGATAAGATTCAGAAACCTTCCACTATCCTCTCAGTTGCCACTATTCAATTATATTAAGTTTTCCTGTCGATCTCATAAATGACGTTTTCCTAAAGGGGGTCGTTATCGCCACATCTTATTTCTTCATGATTTAAACTAACTTGATGTTCACGTCCCTTGAGCTGATCCAGAATCGCCTCTGTTTCCGGACCTACATCGAGTTTTGATGGATCATAAACCAAGAAGATGATATCAGCTCTATCGATGAACCACTGACATGCGTCGTTGAAGGGAAACACCCTTGAAATCTGCTTGCGAACCTCCAATATTCCGGGAATCTCCACGATGTTGACCTATAAACAAAATATCAGTGACATACGAAATCACTGATTATGAGATATTTACTTTCTCTAGAAGTCTCATAGGAAGTTTGACGCCTTGGAGGCGTTCCTCCAAACCTTGCCCAAATTTTTGTAGGCCTGCGAACGTGAAGTCAGCTGCTAACTCTGTTCCGTCAACAATTTCCGGCTCATCCCCGTACATTAAAATGTTGAAGTAGGCTGGGGATGGTTCAGCTCCTAGGAATAAAAAATAGAATAATTGTTTCAGATCAGCTCAAATTAATAGATACCAGTTCTAAGGGAGGTTTCGTTGTATTCATTGTTGACTAGATAGTTAATAATGGACGATTTTCCTCCGCTCCATGGACCCATGAAGAGGATCAGAGGCTTGGAGAATATTTCAGCGTCACCAAAATGTCTGTTACTGAGCTCCCTGTACTTGTATAGAACTTCCAAGGGTTTTATGGCATTTTCGTAGAGTTTCTTTAGCTCTTTTAGAGTGATATCAGATACTTTATTGATGAGCTTTTCGGTCTCCGACGAATCTTCGTCAACTTTGAGAAGTTGCTCAACGTGATCCCTCGCCCTCAGTTCACTGGGGATTTCAATGTCCGATGTTAAATCCTCTACAGGAGCAGATTCGTATTCGTCATCACGTGCCTCTGATTCTTCGTCTGTGCTTTTTTCTTCTGAACCACCTTGTTCTTCTTCCACTTCATCACCTGATGAAAAGTAGTTAATTTAAATGTATATTCATAATCATTGAGCTTACCGTGTTCAAGTTCATCGTTAGATTCAGAGTATTCAGTAGATTGGGCTCCTTCTGCTGCGCCGTAGTAGTCATTGGTGACTTCTTCATTGGCTAACTCTTCAACGCTCTCTTTGTTGTTCTCGACTGATTGTACTGCATCGTTTGTTTCTACAGATGGCTCATCATCTTTATTCTCTTTTTGTTCTTCCACATCGTCTATTCGATCTTCGTTACTATCCACTCCACCCTGATTATCTAGATTATTTTCAGCACTTTCATTGTCCCCATCACTGTCAGATTGTTCTATTTTTTCTGATTCTTCGTCGATGTTTGTTTCAGTTGTCTCTTCATCGCTTTCTTCTTGGTCTTCTGCTCCTTCGACGGTAGCTTCTTCTTGTTCGACAGTTTCAGTTACCCTTTTTTCTTCAGTCACTAACTGTTTTTCGTTTCCAGAGTATTTCTGTTCTACCTGCTGTTTTTCCCCACTGTCGAATGTCCCTTTACTTTCCGGTGTTCCATCTTGATTTTCCTCCTTGCTTTCCGTTGTTCCATCCTGCTTTTCCTCTATATCCTCTTTATCATCATCCCCTTGTTCTCCATTATCTCCTGGTTCGTCTTCGTCGGCTTCTCTTTGATCTTCGTTGTCTTCAGCCTGATCTTCGTTGTCTACAGCTTGATCCTCTCCAGTTTCATCTCCATCTTCCAGGTCTCTGTTACTTGTGATATTGTCTGCTAACTCTTCGTTCGATGCATCTTCGTTTTCGGGTTTTTCACTTTCATTATTCTGTGTTTGAGGCTGATCGTCTTGTTCTTGGCTAGCAACATCTTCCTGTAAATGAAATATGGATTGAGACTTGACTTCAGCAAAAAACTATCTTCACAGAAATAAAGTATGTGTATTTGTCGAATAAAAAGTGAAAGGCAGAGGCAATGATTGAATATTGTAGTGCATAGTTTCATTACATACGTATACAGAGTATAGAAAAAGCAATCGAAAAAAATCATTACATACTTGGCCTTTGTAGTGTGGTGTTNCTGTAGATTAAGAATTTGCTACTCATGAATATTGGAAGAGAATATCATATGGTTGATATTTTTAAAATGTCATGATTTGTTGCCAAATTCATTTCCAATGTATCAGAGTGTTGTATAATCAAGGACAATCATTTGGGAAATCATTTTCATGTCCAGGTATTATATAGTAAGTACCTTTTAAATATTATATGAAATATTTCATATATTTCAATTACTTTCTAAGTTACCTCTTTCAGTCATCTCAAATAGTAAGAGTGATATTCATATATATTATTAAGATACGAGGTGTTGATAATTGTTGTAATATTTTGTTTTTAATAGTTATAATAATCGTATCCTAATAATCTCTCCTTTTTTTATTATGATTTTAGGAATTTTAATTTTGTTATTAAATAATTCTGGACCCTTGCACAAAGTCAACACTCTACCTTTTCACCTTATGGAGCATTTCTTTGCACCTTATGGGAAATTCTTTGGTAAACAGTTCTTTTCTTTATAATGTTATAAAATTCAACAATTATTAAATTGGATAAACAAAGGAAAAGTATAACTTTTACCCAATTTAATTTGTTTCATCATTATAAAGAAATAAATAAATGATCAGGTCATGAACAAGATGACATTCATCATTTCATCAATTCAGCAAATTTTCATAATAAATTAACCAATTTTTATCAATAGACTAAAGTTATTTACAATAACAGATTTCTGTATAGCAACCTTTTTTGCACCCTCACAATTTTAGTTAGGCAAGCATAGTTCATTTTGAACCACTTTCCTTGTTCTTATCTTAATTCTAATATTCTTTGATTTAGGTCACTAGTTGAATGTTTATGCAAAGGGTTTCATTAAATCGCACTACATATCAGCTCTGGGTTATTATTGCATATATGTCTTTCGAAGTACGTTGCAACGATTGATAAGTGATAAAAGGCCTTTTTTTCCTGTGTAGTTTGTTATAAACTTCATAAGTTCTCTTCATGATACTCCTGTTCGGAATCCGCCATTTTGTGTAATTTACCTGTATCAACTTCTTTCTCCAAATGTTTTTATGAACAAATATAAGGTATTTATCCTCTTATTCTCTCCAATAGCACTTTATGTTCATTATTTCACTTCATTTTATACAGTTTTGAGAAAATTATGAATTTATAGCTTAAATAATCATTACACCTATTCAGTACAACCTTCCTTCTCTCTAACAATTTTCTGGCTTATCAAAATAAATTTTGAATGTCTCTTGTTTCTTAAGCAACAATATTGAAAATATTCTTACTAACTAATGTTTGACAATTTATTACAAACTAATTACTGAATCTTGGAAAATACTATTGACATCTTTCTAAAGCTTGCCAGGCGATTTAACGTGGGTGCTTTGTTCACTCACTCGGATTGACTGCCGTGTTGGTCGGTGGTTCACGCCCTTGCCTGAACGATCGGTTTTCACTTGCTATCGTCTAACCCGTGTTAGTAATCACACGTTGAAAGGTGAGACCTCGTTAATCCTTAGCTCGCACAAGTTTAAACTTCTGAGGGTTGTCATTCGTAGGGGTGCGACAGCTGGTAAACGGAAAAACAGATTTTTTGAATCTTTGGTATTTTCTTATGTAACCCAAATACAGGCAAATTTACCTGAAATACCTGCAGTACCTGCTCTAAGGCGTTCCGACCGCATAAAAAAACAAACAGTTTGAGTGGAACCTTGAAGATGATAGCACAGCCAGCTATCGAAAGCGCTCGCATATGATGAAAAGAAGTTATAAAGCTTCAAATCCTTTTTGTGACATATTATAATATTGAAATACTGAAAATAAAGGAAAATCAGTTGCTCAAGGTTGCCCCAATCCTCTCATGCTCCATTCCTACGACTTTGTAGGTACGTGTGGCAGATACCCAACGAAAAAACAACAACCAACCCAGCTATTGCCGCGTAGAGAGTTGAAGTGAAACTATCAGGCACCTGTGCTACGTATTCGACTTAGAAGATTCGTCGCACGTTATTTCCCACTATGAACAGCTGAAATTAATTTCGTTTGGTCGATCCGACCAACCGATAGACCGGTTTAGGGGTGTTTGCCCCATCATCAGTACCGGGCATGGTCTCTTCAGAACGGTGTGAACCGTCCGAGTATCACGACCAAACAAATATGAATCCAGCTAGTCATGAAATCTCTCTGCAGTTGATTCAGTGGGATGTCCACTGCGCCAGCCACCTACAGACAGAGCCAGGAAACAACTTTACAAGCATACCACGGGGTGGGAGTCGGAATAATGAATAATATTCCGGACAGGTGCATTATGACATGCTCAAGGTTGCCCCTTTCCTCTCATGCAGACCTATGACTAGGTACGTGTGGCAGATACCCAACGAGAAAACAACAACTAACCCAGCTAATGCCACGTAGAGAGTTGAAGTAAAACCATCAGGCACCTGTGCCTGATGGTTTTACTTCATTGCACAGGTGGAAGGCATTGCACAGGTGGAATTTCGAGTAATGAGAGGGTAGTTGCGTTTAATCGCCGCTCCCGCTCTCTGAATCGCCAGACTCAAGTGCTGATGAAAATTCAACTAACCGATTCAGGTGAATCTGTATTTGGCGTGTTGCCACCTCGCTAGAGTAAGAATGGGCATATTTGGCAATATCAACTGCACGCATCTGCGGTATCAGGTGCAAAAACCTTTCTTTTTGCGAACATTGGAAAGTCATATGTATACAGGAAGTGTAGGTGTGGGGATAGCCAGGAACCCTGTGGAACACCTGCTTCCATTAAAAAAAACCGTAGAGATACCTTGGTTTATCCAGATAAAAATCTAAGATTTTTATCATGTATGAAGGCATGTGTGCTGTCCACATTTTTGCAATAAATCCCTCTATCCAGACGATGTCAAAGGCTTTATGTATGTCCAACAGGACCATGATTGTACTCTTCTTCTGGTGAAAGGCCTCCCTCATTCCGTGAACCAGTCAGACCAGTTGAAAGGTCGTGTTATGACCCTGCATGAATCCAAACTGTTCCTCCGGAACAAGTTTCAGCCTTTTCTCCAGACGGAGAAGTCTGCTAAATACAATATTGTCAGCGATTTTGACGATCGAACTAAGTAGCGAACTCGGTCGGTAGCTTTCTATCTCTCTGATTCTTCGGTTTTCCCGACTTATGAATGGGTATTACCTCCGCGCGCTTCACGTATTCTGGGTAATGTTGCAATGTGAGTATCCCGTTGATCCGATATGTCCCATTTGTACAAGACTTTTGCGCGGCAGGTTCCGGACTGAAACTACTCCAATGCCATCGTTGCCACGTGCCTTGTGTAGTGGTGTGCGTTTTATAGTGTCTCTCACCTCTGTAATAAGTACGCTAAAAAATGCCCAAGTGCCAACTGTCATCTGCCTCGAGGGTCACCGATTAAAGCAGTCAAGCTCAGATCGTGTACGATTCCACATCCTAGTCCTAGCCATCCTGTCCATATATATATATATATATTCAATAACACATGGCGTAGTCGGGAAATTGGAAATGGAAATTGGAAATTAAATCTTCAATCAACCGATGCTGAAAAACAGCAAACAAGAAAAGTGAAAGGTGAGTTAGTTAGTCATCAATATTACTGGAGTTTTTTCCCAACACCAAATCGTTATTTTTACACCTCGACACGTGTTTCGATCACCAAGTGATCATCTTCAAGAGAAAGATAAAACTAGAAACTACTCAAAACTAAAGTCCCTAACTAATGGGTTATCATGAGTTTCCGCTGACTCGAAAACTCTCTGATTCCTCAACTGAATGGACTTTGAGATATGGGCGGTAAATTCGAAAATTTATCATGAAATAGGCGGGCTACTTCGTTTGCGAAACTGTTATTTTATGCATTTTTGTTTATCTAACCATTTGTTAGAACGGACTTTACTATTGAATTAAAATACTTGACAACTAATGTTGTAACATACACAACAAATTAAAGGATACCATCTAAAAATAACATTCCTATGGTTTTTTGCTTACTTCCTTATTACCAATACCTCAACATGAAATAAGTTTTGAGAGTATTTTATCGAATTTCGGTAACCACAAGATTTTAATTTATTTTTATCTCAATTGCAATTAACTTGAAAGCGATAACATTTTTGAAAAGAGAAAGAAAAGACCTTTCAAACGATATATAACAAGCCTATACTTTCCATTCGAAAAATTGAGGGGTTTTACCTGTCATTCGACGGAGGTTGAAGGTAGGGGTAGGGCCGTCGCCATGGGGGAGATGGGGGGAGGCCCCCCCCCTACTTTTTCGACTTTGGAAAAAGTTGGGAAATTTTGGGCCGTGAAGATAGATAAAAATAATAGTAAAAAAATGAATGAAAAGTAAAAAAATAAAAATGAGAGAAAAGAAAGGGAGAAACAATAAGAAAAAGGAAAGAACCGGGAGAAGGTTGGGATTTCCCAACATGCATAACTTGGAGATCCCATACTTTGAAATTCTGAGTTGTTGAAAACTTCAAAAAAATTCAATTTCCCCCTAGTAAGAGAACAGTCTTGAACAGTCCACGAATTTTGAAGTGACAATTCTACAGAATTCCCAACTTTTTGCTTTTTTTTTTGACTTGAAAAAGTTGTGAAATTTCGGGCCGTGAAAATAGAAAAAATAATAGTAGAAAACAATAAGCACAATATTATTCAAGTGTTGTTTCCTTTCATTAGTATTGAATATTCCTATACATGGTGGATATGGTGGAAGATCAAGGACCTTGGTCCAAAGTAGAATAATTCCTTTTATTATTTTTATAATTACCAAAATTTATT